GACATGTTCATCCTGACATCTTCTGTGACTGCCGCATCGGCTCTCGATAGTACAGACGTATCTACTGCCGAATCTCCAATTCTAACATCTACCACCGAAGAAGTTAAGGTCGTGGTTCACCTGCAATTTATAATGGCGCATTGTAGTCACCTTCGTGCACGAAAGTTCGTTCAATCTCAGCTGTTCGTCAGTTATTAGTTAGTCAGTTATGTCAGTTATTTGCTGTTGTATCGCCGATTTTCAATCGTTAGTATTAAATTCATGGTAACGAAATAAAATGACAAACGTGTATCAAATAAATCTGCTCACCTGCAATTTATAATGGCGCATTGTAGTCACCTTCGTGCACGAAAGTTCGTTCAATCTCAGCTGTTAGTCAGTTATTAGTTAGTCAGTTATGTCAGTTATTTGCTGTTGTATCGCCGATTTTCAAAATGTGAATGATCTGTTTATTTTCAAAGAATAGTTTGTTTTGTTATTGTTTGGTTGGTGTCTTATATGAAACTGCGACACTGCGCACTTTATTGGACAGACTTGTTGAAGATCACACAACGTAATTTGGGTGGCATTTTATTTCGTATTTTTAAATCATCTTTTTATTTTCGACTATCTGTAAATTTAGTTTCCTGCTCTTAATTGTGATGGTTTTAAATGCTCCTGAAATTAAGTGCTGCTTGACGAGCCTATATTGTGTATGTATGTGACGTCACTGAAGGCCTAAGGTTGAAATGCACGGCCCGCCACTGATATTGAGCCATATTTTTTTTCTCTCTCTCTCTTGACTGACCCCTTTAATTTAATGCCCAACATGTATCATTTTGGGCATTTATATTTGCTAAATGATTGCGGTTTATAGAGAATGCGCAGCTGTTTCTATGCCCCATCCTAGCATTCCCTCCTACTGGCACTCTATCTCTCCCAGTAATTACGTGGGCCCTGTGTAGTTATGTAACAGGGATTGCCACACCAAACAGTTTTTGACCACATCCAACGTGAGAAATTTTTTTTTCACCACTGGTTATATGGTAGTCAATCATATCGAGTATTGTTGTATTATTCACATTATTTGCCGTAAGACACTTGTGCTTCGTCATTTGGGCTTTCTTGGAGGGTTTTCCCGGGGCAGTTTTGCTGGACATATATTTAGCTCTTCGCTGGACTGGCAATAATATTTACAATGCCACTTTCCGTTTCAACTCATCATTGGTGAATGGGCAAACGGGGAGCGTGCACCCTGGCTTCAAGTACATACGTTTTCGTTGTCAGCAGAAAAATTCATGATTATTTTTTTTCTAGTGTAACTCAGGATTGTTTGGCTTTTGTCTTTTTCCACCCCTCCCAACCCCCCTGAAGAATGAGCTAAACAGCGGGTTAGGAATATAACTGGGAGTTAAGGGTTAACTAGTGGCTAAAACGGGCCCACGTGTGTGTGTGTGTGTGTGTGTGTGTGTGTGTGTGTGGGTGCGTGTATTCTGAAGGAGGTGCAAAGGTGTCCATACTGTAAGTGTGAGAGCCCGTTTTTCACTCCTGCCATGTGGAGGTTGATGCTAATGTTACCACCAGTTGGGGACTTCTTCACATCTCTCAAAATGTTTTTGTCATTAATATTTTTAAATGTTATTTTTAATCCACCAGTTCAAGTTTGTTACTTAGTTTTGCCATTGATTGACTCTACTGAAGGAGGTGCAAAGGTGTCCATACTGTAAGTGTGAGAGCCCGTTTTTCACTCCTGCCATGTGGAGGTTGATGCTAATGTTACCACCAGTTGGGGACTTCTTCACATCTCTCAAAATGTTTTTGTCATTAATATTTTTAAATGTTATTTTTAATCCACCAGTTCAAGTTTGTTACTTAGTTTTGCCATTGATTGACTCTATCTTTGGCAATATCCAAAGGATTGAATATTACAGTGAAATTGAGGCTGGAAGTTTCCCAGCTCATTTGACGCCATAACATGCACTGTTTCTAACATGATTACTTTGAGTGCTTTTGGAGAACTCTGTAATCTTACCTGTCACTGTATGCAGCTGCTGTGGCAGCAGTAGGCTGGGCAAATCTGTAGGCAGCGTAACCACCCTGGAAACACACGCGTACACTGCATATGAGATTGGGAAAACAACCAAACTTCAGTGCATTTTGTATAAATGATAAATATTCCTTAATCTTTAACTGTCCAATTGTTGTTAATGTGATGAATATAAGGAATTAAACTGCTATTACAAGACAATTGTTCTTTAGACACACACGAGACTTTCATTAACAGCTTAGCTCCTGTCTGTATTGCATGAGAAATAGCTTAATATGCATGCCTAAATCCACAAATAATTACACTGTATATTCTTTTTAAATTAACACATATACCTGCTTATTAATGTAATGTGTAGTTAGTGTTTAATCTGTCCAGTCAAAGGTGAATGAACAGTTGGTGAAACGCTGTGGCTGTCGTTGGCTATTGTGAAATTAGTCACTGACAAAACAAATAAAATCCACAGGCAATCATACACATCTAAACGACAGCAAACTATCACCTTTGATGTCCAGAATATTTAGCGTAACACGTTCAATAGTTTCCTGCTACCTTTATTTTTACAGCGTGTATTTGTTATGATCACGTTCTATTAGTGTCCAGCAGGTGTTCCCGTTTTTTCTGCTGCGCATCTGTGTGACGCTGTCATATAATTTCGCCTTGCTCAAGTTATTGTTCATGTGCATTTCGTCGAGACGCTCCCTTACTACTCTCGTTCCGTTTTAGGCTCTTGCCTTGATTTGTTTTCTCTGTTCTTTTTTTTGGGAGGGGGGGGCGGGCTCTTTGCCTTTGCCTACGTTCTTCGTTGTTCAAGTAAGTAGTTCTTGGTGTGTTTAAGTGTGTCCACGGTTTGTTCTCCACATGGTTTGATCTTTCTTGTACTTTTGTCACAAGCTATTTTCTTTTGTGTTTTTTCCTTGCCTTGTGCGAGCACTCTTTGTTTTCTTTGCATTATTCTTGGCTTGTTGTCCATTGCCATTATTTGTACGTTGTCGACCTGGCCTTGCGCCTATTTTTGTAAATGAAGATTTTTGTTAGATCAACTTTCCTGAGTCTACCTTTGAAGTGTCCGATTCTGTCCGGAACCTTACGGACACCCGACGGTATTCATTCACACGAAGAAAAGGATAATGATGGCACATGCTGTGTGTCTGATTTCTTGGAGGCAGTTGCAGCGGTTGTGAAGGCTCTTTATACAGTAAATAAAGCCGTATTGTATTGCATTCCCTTTAGCGAAGCGCTATCGAGTGGATGCATAACGCAACCGCAGCCAGGGCTCAATACACAGAAAGCGTAGCTCTATCCAGTGCAGTATTTTTGAATCATTTTCGAGCCAAGGCACATTTCATTCCTTGAAAAAAAATCCCGTGGCACACCCATACCTGAAAATGTGAAAAAAGCGTATTTAAACAATTGTTATATTGTTACTGTAAACGTTTTTTTGACATTGAAAAATAACGCTATAACACATTGAATAGGAATCAAATCAACATCAATCCAATATTTGGTGCATTCATTTTAATGGCCAGTAAAATATAGTCAATTAGAACTTTAACTTGGTCAGGGTTGGATTTTTTTCTGTGTGGCAGCTGGTTCTTTTTATCCCCGGTTGTTTGCACTCTCCCGCAATATTGTACCAATCCTTTTTCCCGTGAGTCTTTGTATAATTCCAACATCATTCAAATGACTTTTCTGCTGAATGTGTCGCTTGAGGTAGTCCAGCTTCCATTTAATCCATATTTTTCGCTTAAAACTTTAGCTTTGCTGCATGTTTTGCAGAGCATCCTCTCTCACTCGAAAAAGAAAAGATCTCACCCAGTTTCACTGCCTGTTTTATTTGCACATACTCCGACAGCCATTCCAAATTAAAAGAACTGCAGTTCATTCTTATTTTGGATAGGGGAGTCGACGTATCACATTTACTGCCCGGTCGTTTCGCCACGATAAGGGATTAGCATTAGCGTCATTTATCGCCACCGCACTGTTATTGTTATAGAGCAGAGAACATGCGTAAGTACTGTCAATGCCGTGATTGTCTGCATAGCGTCATTGCATCATATTGTGTGATTGGCTGGACACCTGTCACTCACTGAATTACACAGCAAATTGATAGAGAAAAAAAAAGTTATATGTCTAATTCATTTGCAGTGCATTCACTGCGCTGGATAGGTTTTCTTGTGCGCTGAAAGTGTGCCACCAGTGCGCGGTTGCGCAGCTTAGAGGGAACATTGGTGCCGTTGCATCTCCAGTCAGGCGATAGACCACACAGGCATACTATATTGGATAATTTCCCACGGCACACCTAACAATATCTCGTGGCACACCAGTGTGCCGTGGCACAGGGTTTGAAAAACACTGATGTAGTGGATGCATAATGCAACTGCAGTCACTTTTGTAGCTTCTATTTTATGTGTCTTATAATGAGATGGGCCCGCTCTATGAAAACAGTTTTATATTAGGCCATTCATTGAAGATGCGCCTTGTAATCTGAAGCACTTTATACAGTAATCCCTCGTTTATCGCGGTTAATGGGGTCCAAAACCACCCGCGATAAACGAAAATCCGCGAAGTAGTGACCCCCCTCCCCCTCCATATAGGTACATGTACATAATATTTAGAAGGCCAAATGTAATGGTATACATCAGTGGTCCTCAACTAGAAATGCTGTAGGTCCACTTTTTTTTTTTTTTTTTAATAAGACCAAGTTCCGGTCCCATGCACGGCGGTCATGGGGAGCAGGGCTATATGCCCATTTAGTATGGTTAAGCCAAGCTTATACAAATCAACGCTCCTCACAACCAACCAATAATGGGGTGCATGAAAATAACAATTATTCACTTTGCCAGTACACAGCAAATAATGAGAGGTATTGTGTTAAGGCACAGGAACTCTTTTATTTTGTTAAGTTGTGCCTGCTTAATAATAGAAATAGCCCTTTTAGGGAAATAAGACAATTTTTACTTTAACTTTGTTAAACAGTAGTTGTCTTTTTTTTCCCTTAATTTAACAAAACAATTTAACAAAATACTCATTTTACCAAAATAAATACTAAACATGAAAACAAAAATATCCTTTTCATTTGTACAATTCCCCTTTTCACATCCCCTCTGAAATCACTGAAAAATACAGTATATCAGAAGAGGAGTTAAGAACCATTTTAAAAACTGACACAAGGGAGCACAGGAATGTGCAGTGCTGTTCTTCCACTAAAGGTGAATGCAATGTTTGAGGCATGCAAATATTATTTGAGGACGCACTTGTGATGTTCATTTACCATGTTGCGGTGTTCTGCTGTTAAACAGCTGCAAAGATCCCCGGGTAGACGGGAGCAAAACTGCACACAATCGAAACCTCCCGCGATTCGTCTTGTCTAATTGTCTGTGTGCAGCTCTCCTGGACTGAAGCTGTGAGCACAACTGTGGCGTCGCGCATGCGTCTGTTTCCTGACACAATCATCCATTTTGAATGCGTGTGTGTTGGGATAGACGCGTGCTGACGCTTATGTATGGGCACACCTTAAGTTCAGAGGAGCCAATCAGCGCATCGTTATCGCCGACATGCCCTGCTCAGCCAGGGTCTCCAGTTAGTCAAACATTATACAACACAGTCGCGCTGCTGCGGTCATCTGCAACACATCTGTTAGTGCACGCAAAGAATAAAACGGATAATTTTAACAAGCGATCGCGGTAATGCGCAGATTATAGTCCACAAATATAAAATGTATAACGTAAAAATCACTTTATAATTTATTATTTTATACAATTTGCCGAGGGTCCGGACAGAGGAGGTCGGCGGTCCGGTCGTGGATCGCGGTCCGCCAGTTGAGGAAGGCTGGTATACATACATGTAGGAGTAAATTTTGAAGTAATTAACGTGACTTAATGCTGTATACTAATAGATTTAAACATGTATAAGTTAGGTTAGTTTATGAATAACAAAATACAGTAAACATATAAGAATGTTTTTTTTTTTAAAGTCCGCAAAAAGTCCGCAAACGGTCCGCGAGAAGCTGCGAAAGTTAGCAAAACAACAGAGTCACATAGAGCAACATATACAGTACTGTATATGTACTGTACTGTATATGGAAATTTTATTTATTTATTTTTAATGAATATGTTTGAAAAAATCCGCGATGCACTGAAGCCGCGATAAACGAACCGCGAAATAGCGAGGGATCACTGTCGTGCAGAAAATATGTTACTTTATATGTGACAGACATATTCATATTTTTTTCGTCCTCAGTCATTACAATGAGTTGCTTTGGGGTTGTTTAAGGTCCTCACGTACAAAATAGTGAACAGGTTTACTTGTTTATGTTCTTTGCAGTTGTAGTACATAAATCATATTAACAAGGTATTTTATGAATAGGTGGTGCTTTCCCTGCAAGGCTGCAACCCCTCCATTCTTAATGACTGAGAGTGTATGTCTGCCCTGACACCAGCAATGTATTATTACCACTATAAAGTGTGGAGTCAAGTAAGGAATAGTTAGATTGTGCGATGATGGACTGTGGTGGGATGAACAGTCTGCTCCCTTTAAGAGACCAGCCATTGTAACGGTGTATTGCCACTCCTAACAGAGTGACGAATGGAGGCTTTGTGTGCATTGCGTGTGTATGGAAACAGTCTGTGTGGTCAAGTTTTGGCCACCCATCACTCAGTCTAACGTAGGGAAGTTTGTCATTCATCAACTTTACTGAGGCGTTGATAGAGGACAGGTGGAGCAGGACTCTTTATATAAAGGCGATGCTCATGCAGCGTGGCATGACTTGCATGCATCACAGTTATATTTACAGCATATTTACAGTTTACATTATTTTTACTAGATTGTGTTCTTGAGTAAAGGCCGAACATAATACCACAGCAGCACCTCTCCCCATGTTTCACTGAAGTCATTTTTCTAATTAGAAAGGCTGCGTAAAACGCATGACATTTGGATACTTGTACTTTAAAGACTCACATGGGAAATTTCGCATATTGCTTCCTGAGCACTTACTCCATCAGTTATATTACGGCTATGTCACTCTGATAACACTGTTCCTCGCCCCTTCCCCACCCCCCTTTGTCCTCTGAAACAATCATGAATGCCGTCCGACATATTTGACGTGTATAATTAAGGTAAATTAAAATGTAATTTTTCCAAATGATTGAAACACCTCAGAGTGCAATACATTTTACTTCATAACTTTCATAGTATATGAAAAATAATTAGACATATTATATAAGTATTGGGGGCGCCCCAGTGTCAAGTGGTTAACACGTCGACCTCACAGTGCAGAGGTCGTGGATTCGATCCCAGCTCTGGCCTTCCTGTGTGGAGTTTGCATGTTCTCCTCATGCCTGCGTGGGTTTTCTCCGGGTACTCCGGTTTCCTCCCACATTCCAAAAACATGCATGGCAGGCTGATTGAACACTCTAGGTGTGAGTGTGAGCGTGGATGGTTGCTCATCTCTGTGTGCCCTGCGATTGGCTGGCAACCAGTTCAGGGTGTCCCCCGCCTACTGTCCGAAGACAGCTTGGATAGGCTCCAGCACGCCTTGCGACCCTTGTGAGGGTAAGCGGATCAGAAAATGGATGGATGGATGGATATAAGTATTGAAATACAAAGTATAAGAAAACTATTTTTATTCCAGACAATGAATGGTTCTGTTTTTGCACAACTCATAGCTGGTCCAAAGCACTTCATTCCAAATGTTTAGATATAAATAAAGCTTCAATGAGTTAATAGAAATTAAATTAATTTAGTGTAACAGTGGAGGATAGTGTACACTCTAGGTAGATGATTGTGTTTTGTTTTTTGTTTTTATTATGTTTGTTTTAATCTTCTTTTTATGAACTCCAAATGGAAGCTGGTACTGTACAACTTCATTAGACTAAAAGCATGGTCGCACATGTCATTTCAAACGTTTTCAGAAAACAGCAAACTTCTCTCCCCCACCAAAATCAACAAAAAAGAAGTGTCCAATACTTTTGATTTAACCTTTTTGGTTTGTCATCACCTGCATGACTAAGAATCAACACGGTCATGAAAAAAAAAGAAAATAATTAACTAACTAACGCAATATATGAATAGATAAAGAAATAAATACATATTTTTGAAAGCTTATTGATTTTGGTTTTTGAAATGATCTTGTTCCTAAGTTAAGAATCACTTGGGCAATTTGGCTTTTGGCTGACGATTTTGAGTTCGTTTTCTGTCACTTGAAATCTGCTACTTTGGCAAAACGCGTTCCTGTGATGAATATAAACAGTGTCTTAAGCTTTTAGACTCTTGTCGTAATAATAATTGTGTGATTGCAGTTTGCTATAAGCAAGTCAAATGTTAAATGAGCAATCTCAGATCACAATGACCAGCCTCACACACACATATCCTTGCCACTTAAGTACAGTACAAATACTGTAGCATTACAGAATCAATTCAACCTGTGTATTTATTCTAAACAAAGATAAATTTAAACCAATTTTCACAATGACAGATTAGATTTAAAAAAAAAAATAATTCAGTCCACACTGTGTATATTCTCTCGCTAGTTCAGAGAGAAACTCAAACGGCAGGTCAAAGGGGAAGTATATTAATTGAGGGACATCTTTGTCCAAGGCAAATATAATGTGAGATCAGAGATGGCTGTCGCATGCAATGTCAAACCAGGAAATACTTACATAAATATCTGCACCATAAAATCCATCCTGGTAAACAACACTGCAGAGGATGCAAACACAAACAAACAAACAAACACACAATCAAACAAAACAACAACAAAAAAACATCCATATTAGTGCATGTTCTCATGCAGGCACTGGACTGTCTAGCAACCAATCCCCACATCCACAATCCAAAAGACAACCAACAGAAAATGAAAATACAACCAGAGTCAAAGGGAGGAATACAGCAGGCACCCTCAATCCAGTCTAATGGCTCAGTAAGGAAGCTGGGAGGTTTCCATAACATGAAATTACTACTGTATTTTGGTAGGTTGGCCTGGATCTCGGAAGGGTAATTGTAGTCACTGGCAGTTATTGGTCATTCGCTTTAACTCCACGTAGGCAAAGTGGATTCTCACCAAGATCATTATAGTTAACGAAAACAAGAAATAAAAATAAAACTGAAAAATATTTTGGGTAATGAAATAAAATATAAACAAAATGCTTTAAAAAAAAAAAACTGAAACTTCATTTCGTGTCGACAAAACTTACGAAAACTAACTGTAATTATAGCAACAATGTCAGTTAATTTATTACATGAGATTTTGGGTTGATTTTAAATGTATTCATTTTGGTATTAAAGCAAGAACAAAGAAGGTCGAATAGTCGACTGAGAGTTGTGGTTCTGTTACTCAGCATGCATGTCCAGTTCCGGGCCTGCAGGGCCACTGTCCTGCCTGTTTTCCAGCTCTCCCGGCTGCAACACACCTGCTTCAGATGGTAAGCTCATCAGCTAGCTCTGAAGCAGCATGAGAATGTTCCTGATTATTTGAATCAGGTGTGTTGCTCATGGGAGAGCTGGAAAACAGGCAGGACAGCGGCCCTTGAGGACCAACTTTGGACACCCCCATGTTACTGCGTGTCGCCGAGAAGCAACGTCAGCCAATAAAAAAGAGCCACCCAATGATGTCACTCCGAGGTGACAGTCTTGCTAGCTGCTAGCTGATTGCTCCTTGCGTGTTTTTTTTTTTTTTACGGCTCAACTACTCTTTTCCCCCTGAAATCAGCACAAAATGTGACGCTAGGTCACAAGTGCCTTCTTTTTCCGGGTCTTATATGAAAAAAAAATACTCATACACAGTACATGCGGGTTTACGTTTCAACTAAATATGTGCTCATCCATCCATCCATCCAATTTGACATGAGGGGTGTTCACACGGCAACGTTTACTCCGGTGTAGCACAGGGGCTGCCCCCCGTAGAGCGTTCACACGTACAAAGTCACACCGGTGTAGCCCCTGAAAACAGCTTAAATCGGAGCAAATTTAACCCTGCTCAGGAGGTGGTTTAAAAATTAACTCCGGAGTAAATGCTAGTTTGCGGGGCACGCCGATATAAAATGGGACATGTGAACACTACAGGAGTAGACTCGCTATGTGTGAGAAGAGTTGATTACATACGGGTAGAATGCGTTGCTTTTGTGCTCAGTTGTACTTCAGTCATCTTTCCTTTCTCTCTCATCCTTTTACGGTGTCTGATAGACCACAGCGTTGATTTGTCTGGAGAAGTATAAACCATGTTTTTTCGATATGCCACAAACAAGGCGGGGGAACGGAAGTACACTTTCCGCACACCCTGCTCAATGTCTCGTATTGCACGGCTGCAGAAACTGTCGTGTGAACGCAAGTGGGGCTGCACCGGGGTTAACACGCTTCTCTTTAGTAAGCAGCTTTATACGTGTGAACGCTCCACAAAATTTACACCGATGTAAGATATATCGCAACAAAATACATCGGTGCAGCACCGATGCAAATGTGTGCCGTGTGAACACCCCTTTAGACTCACAGGTGAAAGCAAGTGGGCAAGTGGCTAATAGTGTTATGTGTGGAACAGTTTTCAACAGGAATTCAAGCCATAAATCCTCTTTGGTAACTTGGCAAACAAGGGATGTAAAGCGAGAAAAGTGTGACCGTTCTCTCATTATTTAAGACATTGGGTTGTGATGCCGCTAACTTTAGAAGCAGTATAATGCACCACACTTACTTCAAAGGGTGGACTGCTTTACAGTATCTGTATTTTAAAATACTAGTTTTCTATATTTTATTTAACTACACAATACTTACAGTAATGTGCTTTTAATCTTGTGAAAGAATACACAATTTTAAAAATATATTGTCCTATGATTGGCTGGCAACCAGTTCAGGGTGTCGCCCGCCTACTGCCCGAAGACAGCTGGGATAGGCTCCGGCATGCCCCGCGACCCTTGTGAGGAAAAGCGGATCAGAAAATGGATGCATGGATGGATAAAAATATATTACTCATATAAAAACAAATTAAAAACTAAGCTAAAACAAAGCAACTAGAAATATAAAAAAAAAAAAAATTACTAACAAACCCGCTTAAAATCTCATTGATACTAACCACATTAAAAAAAAAACAAAAACAAAATCAAAAACAAAAAACAAAAATGCCACCCAAAAAAAACACACTATAATGAATATTCCAAAACCTTTATAAGCAGGATACAGTATCCTCTCAGTCAACGTTAGAGTGAATGGTTGTTTATGTTCCCAGTGACTGATTGGCCATGAGTCCACATTGTACTTTGCCTTTCACCTTAAGTCAGCTGAGGTAGGTTGCATCCCAACAACCTTCATAACCCCGAACAAGCAAAGCAATATGGTTTCCACAAATAATGACGTTATAGCCTACGTATATATTTTGATGTTTCAGCAAAGCCAGACATAGTGATTAGCATATCTGCCTCACAGCAAGAAGGCTCTGGGTTCAAATCTTGACTCTGATGTTTCTATGTGTCGTTTTTTTCCCTCTTGCCAAAACTCAGCTGACATATGCTTCAGCTCACCTGTGACTCTGAGCAGTGCTACAAAATGTATGGAGAATTAAATGTAGCTCATGTATTTAGCTTAGTAAACACATCCTTGCATTAATTTAATCATCGGCTCATTATTTTGTTCACAATGTACAGTTCTATGCAACGGCTACTAAATTTGCTCTTTAAGCAAAGCTGCCATGGCCATGGGTGTGATTATTACTCAAAAAGTCTTTCAGATTTTTGGCATGCAGTCACAAGCCACAGAACACCATTTTGTGTTACACTGAACATGGTTTAAATCACACAAACAGAAACTGCAACCTTGAGAAATAAAACACGATAATATATGGGGAAAATTAATGGAAAAAACATCCTCTAAAGTGGGAAATGGCATTTCGTCTGATCTTCCCTTACACTTTAAATATCAGACAGATTTGGCTGCATGCTGAGTAATTTTCTTGCAATGCCATGCCGTCACCGGCACATCATTTGCCATCAGTGCCACCACCTGCCCCCCTCAAAAAAAAACAACAACAAAAAAACACGCGGTCATGTAATTGATCAGTTGATCATTGCAATGCTGAAATGAGCGGCTGAAGAATAACTATACAAAAATTGCATTTGAAGTCAAATGGAAACACACTCAGCAAAATGTGTCTTTCTAGACTGTAACTGCCTGTTTGCATTGGTGGATGGAGCAAAGATAAGCCATCAAATTGTGCGTGTGTGTGCATGTTTTTTTTCCTTCGCTTTCTGAACTGCGGTTGAACTGTGCTGTACATAAAAGTGTGGCATGTACAAAAAAATACGTGTGTTACAGAGGTCGTGCTCCTCATTTGTTTTCTAATAAAATGCCTCGAGATACAGCCTCTACTGCCCCATTGACTTTGCTGCTGTTCCTCAGAGAAAAACAGTCACTGATTTCACTAAACCACTAGACATCTTTCCGACTATTTGTGCAAACTCTGATGATCAATATTGCTTCAAACATCATGGACACGCTAAGAGCAGTGCCATCAGAATTGCCTTTATTGTCATTGTATAGCATACAACGAAATTTGGGTGCCACTCCTTAGTGCATTTCGTAAAAAAGATAAAATAGAATAAAATAACAGTTCAATAAATACAATACTCAAACAACACACAACAACAGCAGCAGTATTGGTAGTGTGGACTGAGGCTTATGTCGCGCTCAGGACACATATTGCACATGAAAATGGATGGCTCAGCTGTTCCTTATTGCACAAGTGAGGTAGATGAGTTCAGGTTTAAAA